AAACCATGCATAAACTGGACCTGAAGGAAGAGACTGCAGTAAGATAGATAACTCCACCCTGTATTAGCGATCACCACGTCCAAACCGCCGTGTTACTGTTGGCGTGTGTCACGACGCAATAAAATCAGGTCCTCGTCAATATTAAGGGCATATATAAAAATATTGGTTTCATTATAGAGATTGTTCATTTGTCTTGTCTTTGGCGGAAAGAATACCCAGATATCTTGAATAGAAGTCGAGATATTCGTGATTTAAAGAAGTAGGGGCGACTGGTGTCAGAACGTAACTGCCAAAGTTTGGTGTTTTAAAAAGAATGGTAGTCATTGGCAAATTAATTTACATTTTCTGTGCCTTAGATCAACGTTTCTCAATTACATTTATGTATTATGCAGCAACGCCAAAATGTTTAGTCCAAAAAAAAAAACACACAAAAAAATTAAATTAAAAAGTAAAAAACAACAAAACAATATCAACAACAAGAACACATACAAATGAAATAGAAACTGTAAAACGGGCAGAAATCTGCTTCGTTTTTCGAGTTCACTACCACAGCATGATTTCGCAACGATGCCACCAAACTCACAGTATTATCCCCCCCCCCCTTTATGGGAAGGTTGTATGTAGCAATAATATCTGATTCTGTACGGGTAGGGTCGGGGGTAGTGAGTGTTAATGGTCGGTAAATACACTGCAAATACTGCCAGCAATAGTCGGGGATAAGGGCTTAGTTAACACTTGAAGTTGAAGGCTCACGGGGATTCAGTCTGGATATTAAAAACAGGCAGCGAGGTACTGCAGAGAAAAACCCAACCCACTTAACCCCTAAACTAACCCTGACCAAAGGTGGCTCGGGTTGGGTTTATGTGGTTTTTCTTTTCTATCAAACATCCATCGTCCTTATCTCCACTCCTTCTTGTTTGTGTGTGTTACTCTCATGTAATAGGGACGGGATATTACAACCCAAGACCAAAGGTTAAGAGAAATAGGCTTTTTCAGGAGAGAGAGAGAGAGAGAGAGAGAGAGAGAGAGAGAGAGAGAGAGAGAAGGGGGGGGAAATAAAAAACGATGAATTAGCACAGGGGAAAAGCAACTTTGACTGACAGAAATTACTGGAATAAACTTAGAAAAAGAATGACAGACAACCCAGTAGTACCCTCCAAGCATCCACACAGAGCATGCGATGCGTGTGTGTGTGTGTGTGTGTGTGTGTGTGTGTGTGTGTGTGTGTGTAATGTGTATTTGTGCATGTGTGTGTTTGCATGTGTGGATGGCGTATGTGTGTTTAGTTGTGTGTATGTGTGTATGTATGTGTGTATGAGTGTATGTGTGTATGGGTGTATGTGTGTGTATGTATGTATGTATGTATGTATGTATG